GGATTTGAGCATAGAACTGAATGCAAAGTCAGTAGTGACAAATCATTTAGCTGAGTTCAGTTTTCATGAAGGGGCAACAGTAATGAAAAGTACAGAATTACTTGGCAACTTAACCTCTCAGAGCCTCTGTGACTGGCTTTCTATTACTCAGAGTTGAGGAGAGGCTTAAATGACATTGTATATTTGAGGTGTCTGGCCTATCGTGGGGCTGCAATATTCGTGTACTGTCTGCCACCCAACAAGGGCAAGGACTCGACTTTTATTACCACATCCAGTCCCTAATACAATATTATGTAACAAGCATCTGTGGGGATCATGTAAGGGGAAAGGCTTTACTTCCTTGAATTTACCTGAAACGATTTGTAGACGACAAATTGGTGAAGGCAAAAGAAGAAATCCATAATCCCATAATTCAATGAACGTTGGCATACTGAGACACCCAGGGAAAAGAAAAATGAAGGGAAAGTGCCATCTCCTAAGACTGGTCTGAATCTAAATGCTTTAGTTCTGCTGGTGCTCTACGGGAGACATTTTATTTCATGTCCTTTTTTCTTATATCTGTCAAAGTTCTGAGGTTAAACATAGATGGAAACAAGAAGTGGCTTTACAATAAGGATTAAGAAAAGGATAAAAGTCACTGGTACACCTGTTGATCAAGTAAACACACCAAATGTCTTAATCATTTTCCCAAATGCAGGATAAATCTGACACATGATACAGGTTAAACAAAGAAGTAAAGTTTCAAGAAATCAAGAGGAAAAAAAAGACAGAAGACTGAAAAAATAGCACCACAAAGCCATAGATGTTGTCTAGGATTTAAAAAATACTAGACTGGAATTAACTGGCTTCAGAAAACATCACTAATAATTTCATATTAACAAAGGCAGGGGTGCATGGCTGTTTCTTATACCCAACTTGCAATCTGAATCACACAGAAGTGTCTGTCTTATCCAGAGAAGAGAGGCCAAGGGGAAGACCTGAATTTCTACATTACCAGAAGTCAAGGGATCTAAAATTAAATAAGATTGTTGAATGAGAACAAGAAATTGATTCTAATTCAAAAACAAACTCCAGGTCCCAAATAAAATGTCCCAGGTAAGCAACTTGCCACAACTTTACTAAAAAAATAACAACATAAAAAACTATATAAGTATTGTAACAGGGAATGAAAGTGCTATACTACTTATATTAGTCTGACTAGCCAAAGAATAAAAAAATGAGAATGTAATAAAGTGAAGTTATAAAAGAATTTATATAAAGCTACCTGTTAATCTGCATAAATGTTAAACCTAGCTTGTTACTCTAACCCAATAGTTCTCAACCTTCCTAACGCCACGACCCTTTAATACAGTTCCTCATGTTGTGGTGACCCCCAACCATAAAATTATTTTCGTAATAATTGTATGCTACTTCATAACTGTAATTTTGCTACTGTTATGTCTTAGGCAACTCCTGTGAAAGGGTCGTTTGACCCCCAAAGGGGTCGCAACCCACAGGTTGAGAACCTCTGCTCTAACCTGACTTTAATTTTAAAGCTAGAACTTGCATGTTAAGTTGTGTTTGGTTTTTTTTTAATGTATATTTTATAATTCAGGAGTTTCTGTCCTATGTGAACCTAGGAAGCAGCCTGGCCTCAAGGCCTGGCAGACACTGACCGCTCAGTCAACAGGAATTAAACTGTCAAAAAAGCCCAGATAGCCAACTCAAGAACAGTGAGCATAAAGATACATATCAAGGCCTATGGGAAGATGTCCTGCACAGCCTATACATCCTGCATATCCACAGCCCTCTTTCCCTAATTTATTTGTTCTTCTTTTCTTCTCCCTCCTGATAAAACCCTTGCCTGCACAGAGATGTTAAGATGAGTTTGGGGACAAAAGTCCCCCATCTTCTCAGGTAGCCAGCACTTAAATAAACCTCTTTCCTCCTCACCAGCACCTGTCTCCTGAGTTTGGCTTTTGTTGCAACAGTCAACTGAATCTGAGTTCAGCTACAGTATCAGGCTTATTGAGTGTCATCTATCTGCCAGGTTCTACTCTAAGCATGTCTCCATATACACTCAGGAATCCTTAAAGCGGGATCCTTTCAAAATAAACAAAATTAAAACTATGATTTTAGAAAGGAAGAACCTGAGACACAAATAGAGTAAGTTACTTTTTCAAAAGCATAGAGTTTAGAAAACGTCACGAACACAAACTGAAGTCAGGTGCGAGGCTCTCTCTAAGTCAGTAGTTCCTATTGAAGTGGCCATATTGGTGAAATTCTCCTTTAACTCTTATAGGATACCTATTAAGAGACTATGATTAAGTGGAAATTTTTTAAAAGACCAGAGTTTCAGAGTAATTTTCAGATTAAAACACTAAAAAAGAAGTTCCCAGTCATCTCCCCAGAGAAATTGTCTCTACCTTCCTAGTACAATTACCTGCATCCACTCTTTCTCTCCCATTATTCTCTTAAGATAATAAATGCATAGCATAGAGCCAAGAAAATTATTTCTCAGTAACTGATGACAATCAATGAATATAATAGCTGTTTAATAAGTGCTCACTGAACTGAAATCAGCTGAGCAAAAAGAAAAGCCCAATCATCTGCAGAAGAAGAGAATGGAATAGGCTAATGAAGAACCAGTCCACACCTCAAGAAGAGAAAAACAATAGTTAAAAGTTCTGAAAGGAAGCACCCAGACTCCAATATTAAGTTTATATGATCCATCACATCTCTATACAGCCCAGTCTGTTCCACATCCTCTCAATTTATCTTCCCCAGAATCCCACTTTCTCTCATCTTAGCTACATCCTTCCTTTATCTGAGTGAGGGCAGGGTGGCAGTTTCAAAGGAAGGGCACGAGCTCACCAATAATCAGAGCCCCTTTCCATCTGGCCCATTCGCTCATGCCTTCTCAGGTGGAAGAAGGCTGGAATGTGAAATCCTCTCACTTTACCACGGCAGCCTACCCCAACATGCCAACTCTCAGGAAGGCGTGAAATTAGCTCAGCTTGTCAATCAGAGAGCACAGTTGGACTCTGGCTAAATCCAGTCACATGGAAGGGGAAGGAAATTTTTGAAAATTAAACTGAATGAGGAGCCTTTTCCTCAAGGTAGGCAAGGTACTTCTAATGACTTTGCACTGGAGGGGAGGTTCGCCCATGGCCCCAGGCCTTCCTCCCTGGAGAAGGAAATGAGAAGATGGGCTACAGGCCACCTAAACCAGAAACACACTCCAATAAATGCCACAGAATGAATTTGCCAGCAGCTTGCTAATGGGCATCACACACCCAATTCTCTGTGCTTTTAATTTCCAAGAGGTATTTTAACTGTCATTAGCTCTGAGGGTTCCCACGATTCCCTGCGGGGTAGCCATGGAGCAACCTGTCAAAAAAAAAGTCTGACTGGATTTTATAGAGGCAAAAGTAGTAAAGGTGTGGGAGAGGGACAAACCCACAGAATCCAGGGTCACATGCCCTAAAGCTATATGGGATTGGCCTCCACCACCAAAAGCTGTCCCTGTCACTTTATGACACAGAGAAGGGGCACTGGAGTCCCACAAAAAAAAAAAAAAAAAAAACTATGGCAAAAGCATTTTATTTAGCCTCATAATGGAGGCGCTCTCCCCCCTGCGTGGCAGCACCAGGGAGCCGTTATTCACTATTGGTCAGAGGGCAACTCACACAAAGCTGGGGGAGAGAATAAAAAAGAAATGGCAGCCAAGAGCCTGCCAAGTGCACATCCTCTGAAATTAGCCAGCACCCATTTCCATAGCGGGCGGAGGGGAAAGCCAGTGAGATCTGATTTCCTGCTCAGTTCTTCCCTTGTACCTTGCCTGGGATCAAGTCTTAACTCTATTCCACTGCTCGGTTTTCCTAAAGATGATATGAGATCATTAAAGCATGTGGTCTGTAAAATGCTCTGCAACCCTTAAAATAAAAAAGCTGCTATTTAAACTCAAGGGTACAAATAAAAATGAAACTCAGATTAAAAGTAAAATTCACTCATTCTGTAAGTAAATAGCTAACCCTGCCAATAAACACATGAAAAGATGCTCAACATCACTAAGTAAACCACAACCACAATGAGATACCACCTCACCCCCATTAGGATGGTTACTATAAAAAACAAACAAACAAAAGGCCCAACCTATACAATAACAAGTGATGGTGAGGATGTGGAAAAATTGGAACCCTCGTGCACTGTTGGTGGGAATATAAAATGGTGCAAACACTTTGGAAAAGTTTGGAAGTTCCTCAAAAAATAAAAAGATAGTTACCATATGATCCAGCCATTCCATTTCTGGACATATACTCAAAAGAACTGAAAGCAGAGTTCTCAAAGTCTCCGAGTTAGGTGCTCACTCACGTGCTCGGCAGCAGTATTCACAGTAGCTGAAGCACGGAAGCAAGCCAGTGTCCATCAATGGATGAATGGATAAGCAAAATGGGCTATGTGAGCCAACAAAATATTGGCCAGCCTTAAGAAGGAAGGAAATTCTGACATAGCTACCACACAGATAAACCCTAAGAACGCTATGCTAAGTGAAATAAGCCAATCACAAAAAGACAAATGTTGTATGGCTTCACTTATGTGAGTGCTTAGAGTTGTTAAGATTATAGAGAATGGTGGTTGTCTGGGGGAGGAAGTAGAAAGGGGAGAAAGTTACTGTATAATGGGCACAGCTTCATGTTTGCAGGACGGAGGATTCTGGAGATGAATGGATGGTGGTGACCACTGCACGGCAACATGAATGTATTCAATGTACGCTTAATGGTTTAGGATGTTACATGTATTTTATTGTTGTTGTTGTTTTTTTAATGAGGAAAAAAGGTAGTTAGCCAAGGGTGTTTTTCCCTCAAGGAAAAAAAAATCATCCTACTTGGGGGCAGAAAAGAGTAATGAAGAAGGAAGTCACAGGTCTACCATGCAAAAACATGTTTTCAAGCTCTTCAAATTCCAGGACTGGCTGCAAACCCAGTAGCCGCACCCACCCACTCCTCCAAGCCACTCACCTCACTGAGGTAAATAAAGAAAGAGCAGGTGGACCCATCCACGCCGTAGTCTGCGTAGCAGGGATCCGAGCGCCACATATCTTTCATCCACTGCAACAAGAGCAGATGAGAACATCTCTGAAGAGCCTGTTCTTGGTGACCCTGCCCTTCTGCTAAGAGAGGAGAGGACCTGTGCACGGCCTGAGCAGCGGCCTAAGGTCGGGATGACACACTCATTTCCGGCAGGGCCCACATTACAGACTTGAGCTGAGCCTTGGTGGAGGTGCTCAGAGTGGAGAGAGGCTGGGGACACACCAGGCAGCAAAGCCCAGGAGAGGCCATGGCTGGGAGATGCCTAATGGGACCATTGCACCCCAAGCCTCTCCCCAGAAGGAGAGTTTCACCAGCCGTAGCACGGTGCCAGGGAGAGAGCCCAGGAATGAGTGCGGGAGTCCCAGACAGAGACCATGTGAATGTTTCTGGGGTTTGGTCCCACCACCCTAACTGAACCTCTGAACCAAAACTTTTCTCTGGAAACTACTGAGCAGGGGAGTGGTCTCCCCACGGGCAGGCCATGGAAATAAGATTTTTTAAAAAAATGTTAAGACTGTGGCCAAGTGTCTTTGGGTATTCAACTGCAAATGCAAATATGACAACTGTCATTTAAATGACAATCTGGAGACCTCAGAGCAGGGCCTGAGGACTGGAAGAGAGAAGGTGGACACTAAATAATGGTAGCCCCTGGTCACGGGCCTGTGAAAGACCACCTGCTAGAGGCTGGGAGCCAGGGAAAGGCAGCTTCAAAGACACAGCAGGCACCTGAAATGGTCCAGGCTCTTTCAGTCTGAGCAGTCGGACCCACTGTTGACTAACCCCATGGAGTTGGCAGAGCAGGGAAGAGTTGCCATGGCCACAGCCCCAAACAAGCAGGCCTGAAGCAGCCCTTAGGTGACTCCCTTAAAGGGCTCGCTTGCCCGTTAGTGCAGACTGAGGATGATGGAAATGAATACACGGCACTTCGGCCTTACCTTGATTTTCCCCTCGCAGTGGGGGTAGCCATCCATAGGAGGCAATACACATTTTTCTTGAGCTCCATTAATGATATCTGTAAAGGATAAAAAAGAACACAGAATACCATGAAGTTTATGAAAAGCAAGCCTAACATCCATGCTGTGACCCATGCAACCCTTCCAACTGGCAACAAGCCGGACTGGTCTGCCGTGAGGACCTGACCTGAGGACAGCCTACCACAGGATGACCAGAGACCTGTGATGAGTGTGGCCCAGCTCCCAAGGGTGAGCTACTCCAACCAAAGTGGCTGCTTGGAAAACTCCAAATGGGAAACTGAGAAACCAAAGAAGTAGGAAGCAGGAAATAAAGCTACGGATTAGGAGGGCCGACCAGGCCGGCAGGGGCCATGCCAAGCTACGCAGACAAACTGAGGTCGTGAGCAGCTTCACGAAGACATGTGCTAGAGCCCAGGCAGCCAGCAGGAGGAAGAGGGGTGAGCAGATCAGTGTGCTGAGGAGGAGAGCCGTGAGACACATCTGCGAGGCAGGGCCTCTTATGGACCCAGTCCAGAAATTTCCAGAAGGTCTCCTTATGGTGCTCCGTACCACAAGCTCCCTTTCAACTAGCTAGCTCGAGTGGATTCCCATTCCTTGCAACTACAGAGTCAAAACAAAAAGAAGCTTACAGTTTGGTGATGAACAACAGAAAGATAACGACACAACTGAACAGCAGTATGATAGACATTATGCCTGGGCAGGGCCAGGCTGCCCACTCTCTACGGTGAAAGAAGGCTTCCTGGGTCCAGGACAGCTGGGCTGAGATGTGAAGATGGAGCAGGAGTGAGCCAGGGGCAGGGACAAGGTGCAGATGGCGTTCAGGAGCCCGGGTGGTTCCAAATGCAGGCCCTGCCCTGACGGGAGAGGCAGCTGAGGTGCTGAGACGTCAGACAGCTCACGCAGGCAGGGCCCAACTGGAAAGGCCTCGAGCACCCAGATAAAGGGGTGGGCAGAGCTCTGAAGGGCTTTGAGCAGGGCATGACTATGGTCAGATTTTTGTTTAGGAACGATCATTTTAGTTTGGACATCAGGACAACCCTAAATCTACATGCTTCTCTTTTTGGACCTACTATATTTCTCAGACCTACTTGGAAAATGTCATCACTACTTACTTCAGGCAGCTTTCTATCTGTACAAAGTACTAATGAGAAATTAGATCCCAAACCACAGTATCATTTGACAGTGGTGTTTCGGTGATGTCGGTGGCTGCTGGGCTGAAAGAGAGGTAAGAGCTAATGCGGGGTTTGGTTGTACCTCTCCCTTGAAAACCAGTTCTTTTGATAGTCTGAAACAGGCATTTTTGACCTCATTGCACTTGCTAAGGATAACTAAAGCATACAATCAGTATCCTCCTCCTCGTCACAGATCGGATACAGTGTCATTTAACAGTTAACATGGAAGGTATTTAGCGTGTCTGTTTCCTCATCTATAAACTCAGAATAATTACACCTCTGTTTCATCCAGCTCTTATTTAATAAGTTAACATTTATAAAAAGTCTGGCACTCCTGACAACTGATAACACAGACCAGGCAAATGCTTACAACTTGGCATTTGCTATGTAATTGGACACAACTTTCACTCGCTACATCCAGGAAAGCAGTACTTCAAATGCGCAGCCACTTCTGGAAACACGCTCTCTCGCACTCACTTGCAAGGGAGCCGCCAGCTCCAGAACCCACTTATTGAATGGCTGCCTCACCAACGAATAGAGACATTTTTTAGTGACTGCTGCTCCTGTCACTATGTTTAATTCAATTCTGCTTGGAAACATTTACCAAGATAAGCAGCAGCAGGGGTTCCAAGAAATTAAGCCCAATCTAGAACAGCTGGGGGCCGGGGTGATCAGACATTTAAGGGGACACTTAGATGACACGCTCCTCCTCTTTGTTCACACTTTCTTCCGGGGCCGCCGTTCAGAGCCAGAAGTCTGCACAACTAGAAGCTACTGAGCTGAAGGTGTAATACGTGGGGTGACGAGAAACTGCCGGGGGGTAAAATGAACGAGCAGGCCCATGAGGTCTCACAGGAGAGCGTGGCTGCTGATGGCGTGAGCCCTCTTCACGCGGAGTTTTATGGAAAAGAAATGCTGTCAAGGTCAGCAAACATTGCCCGTGAAGGACCAGATGGTGACTGTCTGAGGTTCAGCAGGCCAATGGTCTCTGTCACAACTCCCTGCGCTGGCTTGTACCAGGAATGCAGCCACAGACAACGCGGGGAGGAGAAGGGGCCTAGCGTGTTCCAATAATTCTGTTCTGATTAACAGAAACAGGCAGAGACCCCCGAGTCTGCTGTGCTGAGAGAGTTCCTCGATGAAGAGCCCCACTGCTGCTGAGACCTGTTGAGATGACTTTTTTAAGGACACCTGCAGGCACCCTCTGCCAGAAATGCACTTACTCTCAGCCCCCACCCCCCACCCCCGTGCCACTCAGTAAAGGCCGCCTCCTGTAAGACCCCGCTCAAGCTGCACCCTGGGAAGAAACAGCCCGACCCTTCCTCCCCATGTCCAGTCAGGACTTAGCACTGCCTCCTGCCAATGTCTCTCCCTAACTGTTAACAACCCTGCGATTTTCTTTTCATTTGCCCATCTCTCCTCCCCAGCCTTGAGGACTTTATGGGAAAGTAATGTCTTTCTGCTCCACTGGGTAAGTGCTGCTTGACTGAATAAATCCCACCTCCCACACCCTGTTCCACGGGCACCCTGGGGGTGACTCTGCCCAGGGAGAAGTCAGCTGAGACCCCATGAGGCTGGGGGCTTTTACTGCTCCTGCAACCAGCAGGTGTCAATGAATCCAACAGGGCCTTCTCTGCAATTCCATTCTCTTATGATGAATTTTCTGTGGTTCCACAGTGATGGGTGTGAATACACAATGATTTCCAAAGCCTCAGTTTGAAGGCCGAGGCCCTGGTGTGGGCGGATCTGTGACAGGGAGACGCCGGCAGGGACAGCCTTCGCTGGGGCACTGCCCACCCGAGTCCCCGGCCAGGGCCCTGGCAGGACCTGCACCAGCCCCCACTCCAGGAGCTCCAGCGCCTCTCAGAGGACAGCTCCCCATTTTGTTTTCATCACAACGATAAAGACTCAACAAATAATGTTTTTATTAGTTTGTGTCCATTGAACACTTCCCCTCCATATTTAAGTTTAGTTGAAAACCAAAAATTCAGGTTAGCATTACTGCTTTTCAGGGGCAATTTAGCTTCCTGGACACAGGAGACCACTTCAAAAGGAGGAGCCTGGGGAGGGGAGAGGAGCAGGGAGGAGGGGGGATGAAGGGGAGGAGGGGGGGATGAAGGGGGGGAGGGGTACTTCTGTAATACTTTCAACAATAAAGATAAGATACCAGGATCTTCTCCCTGCTATTCACTCCACACTCTCCTGTGTTCCAGTGGTTTTTAAACTTCCTTTTAAAAATATGTTTTTATTAAATTTTTTGAGAGAGAGAGGAAGGGAGAGAGAGAACCATAGATGTGAGAGAGAAACATCCATCAGCTGCCTCCTGCACGCCCCCTACTGGGGATCAGGCCTGAAACCTGGGCATGTGCCCTGACGGGGAATCAACCAAGCCCTCTCAGTCCATGGGACGACGCTCCATCCACTGAGCCCCACGGGCGGGCAGCCCCGTGTTTTCTCACAGTGCGAGGGCATGGGGAAGAGAGAAGGTAACGTAAGCGATGCCGCTCAGCTCCCACTGTTGTTTAGGTTCAGTTTCATTCTTTACTCTCACACGCCAGCCCATGGTGTCTTTCACCAAAACATCACTCTGTCCTGACTCTACGGTGCTGTCGCCCAGGCGCTCCAGGAAAGGCAGTGACCACGGCGTGAAGATTCGGCTTCCGGTCAGCAGTACCGCGGAGGAAGGGCCCAGCGCCGGGAGGAGGGGCCCAGCGCCGGGAGGAGGGGCCCAGCGCCGGGAGGAGGGGCCCAGCGCCGGGAGGAGGGGCCCAGCGCCGCGGAGGAGGGGCCCAGCGCCGGGAGGAGGGGCCCAGGGCCGGGAGGAGGGGCCCAGCGCCGGGAGGAGGGGCCCAGCGCCGCGGAGGAGGGGCCCAGCGCCGGGAGGAGGGGCCCAGGGCCGGGAGGAGGGGCCCAGCGCCGCGGAGGAGGGGCCCAGCGCCGCGGAGGAGGGGCCCAGCGCCGGGAGGAAGGGCCCAGCGCCGCGGAGGAGGGGCCCAGCGCCGCGGAGGAGGGGCCCAGCGCCGGGAGGAGGGGCCCAGCGCCGGGAGGAGGGGCCCAGCGCCGGGAGGAGGGGCCCAGCGCCGCGAAGGAGGGGCCCAGCGCCCCGGAGGAGGGGCCCAGCGCCGCGGAGGAGGGGCCCAGCGCCGCGGAGGAGGGGCCCAGCGCCGGGAGGAAGGGCCCAGCGCCGCGGAGGAGGGGCCCAGCGCCGCGGAGGAGGGGCCCAGCGCCGGGAGGAGGGGCCCAGCGCCGCGGAGGAGGGGCCCAGCGCCCCGGAGGAGGGGCCCAGCGCCCCGGAGGAGGGGCCCAGCGCCGGGAGGAAGGGCCCAGCGCCGCGGAGGAGGGGCCCAGCACCACCTATCAGACTGTTCCTGCAGGAACAGGCTCCTGTGGGAAGAGCCTGCGCACAGCAGCAGCAGCAGCAGGTGTCGGCACCTCCCAGGGGGCCGTACCCACAGGCGGAGCCGGACACCCCAGCAGGCTGGCCGCACGTGCCTGGACTGAGACGCAGGAGAGCGCGAGCGCGAGCGACAAGGGCAGTTCAAATACACACATTTCGAAGCCACGGACACAAAGAGATATGGAACCAGACACATTTTCCACTCAGGCTTTTCTCTCCCGAGGAAGGTCAGTGGGGAGAGGGGCGGCCGAAGGCACGGGCCTCCCCTCGGCGGGACAGCGAGAACAGAAAGGGTGAGACGGGAACTGGGGTGAGCGGTCACCTCCCTCGGTGTACCCCTTGCCTTTCTAAAGTGCTGTCGCACACTATCTCATGCACACTCGCCAGAGCCTCCTGGAAAAGGAAGACAGCTAAATACCTTCTAGCTGGAAAAGAGAAACTTCAAAACCCTCCGCTTCTCCTTCCCACC